GCCAGGATCGAACCCGCGCCCTCATGCATGAGAGGCGGGCCTTTTAACCACTAGGCCACCACTGACTTCAGTATTTATATATATTAGTTTTATTTGAATATACATACGAGTTTACCTACATGCTTGTATGTACCAACATACATAATAAACATGAAATTCCTTTAAATATTTCATACAAAACACTATGACTTAACATTTTCTTTGACGGTAGTTTCATTATTATATAGGATATCAATTTCTACGACCGTTCGCTCAGCAATACAACATTTCAATGTATGAATGCCCGATCCAAATGTTGAAAATATTCTATTCAAACTAACCTCTACATTAATAATACAACTACATCTAAATATTCTACTTATTTTGATTCTATTTATCAATTATAGGGTGGCAACTGGAGGTTCCAGGAAAACTACGAAATATACTTATATGTATATTATAATCAGAATTACATGTTAAAACTTATAACCTATACGTAAAACAAAATGATTGCCCCGATGTTAGGATAGCAATACCATTCCATAGCTTGTGTGGTATCAGGAATCTTCTGGTTCACACGGCTTGGTGTTCTTGGAGTCAGCAACGTCACTCGTTATATGATATTTTACACATACAACGATGTTCCCCGGCGATGTTCGTTTATTTTTTCAATATATTTCGCGTACGTAACATATATCAAAATATATATTATTATATAAATATTAATATATATTGTGGCTTAGTGGCTAAAGGGCCCGCCTCTCGTGCACGTGGGCGCGGGTTCAATCCCGGCAAGTACCAATGTGATTTTTCCAAGTTATGTGCTTTCTAAGAGTATTTAGACACCACTGACAGACGGTGAAGGAAAACGTGGTGAGGAAACCTGGAATTATAATTTTACAATTATAATTTTGAAATCACCATCCCGTCTTAAGCAAGCGTGGTGATCTTCTCCATGTGAGAAATGTCTTCTCCATGTGAGAAAGAGGCCTTTGCTCAGCAATGAGCTCTAATAGAATGATTACAATATTTAATTAAATGGCCGCAATAAATGTATACATATATAACATTGTACTCTTAAAAATATTTGTCTGTCAAATTATGTAGAAATTCGTAAAATAATTTCAATTAAATACATTTAAACTTGTTTTAAAGCTAAGATTGATGGATAGTTACGAAACAAATTTCTTTATTACTGTTTTATATTTAAGTGATCTTGAAACGATAAATCCAGTGATTTTGGTGTACATTCATCATTGGTCGAGTGTCAAGGACGCAAATCGTCTGAATAAAGATTGATGAACGATCCTCTATGATAATTGTTTATATTTTAGTCTACAAAATGACAGTTTGAAAGACTATTCTGTCTGTACAATTAGTAATTAAATGAAAAGTTTTGTTATAGTATAAGTATTTATATCAAAAGTGTCTTAAAATTATGATGTGAAATGATAATATTTTAAATTGAAGGCTATTCTTTTAGTTGGTGTTTTATTATTTCTTATTAAAATTAATATTTGTTACGTATATGTATACCTATGTGCATATGTGTTTGTGGTTTATTGGTGTGTGTGTGTGTGTGTGTGTGTGTGTGTGTGTGTGTGTGTGTGTGTGTGTGTGTGTGTGTGTGTGTGTGTGTGTGTGTGTATGTAGGGGGTGATTTATTTTTGTTAAAAATTAAACTTAGAAGAACAGTAGTAAGAATGGTATTGTAATGTTATTAAAAAAAGACCCTATAACTTTATTTAATTGATTTTAATGTTCAATTATTTTTAATTACCATTTAAAAAAATCTTAAAAGTCTGTTCATTTGATTAGATTTTGGAAGATATCTGCAGTGATCATGGTAGCTGGAAAGTAACCAAAACGTCGGGAGTATGTAGTTTTTACAATAATAAAATATACGTAATATGATCCGAAAAATATTAGTTTCATGTAAATTTAAATTAATACTCGCGAAAATCTTAGATCTCATTGTACCAAGAAAGATGTTTAGATTTTCATTGAAACAATACAATTTAATTTATATTTAACAATGATTAATTAATTATTATGGAACTTTTTACTAAACTTCGAAAATTTTTCATTTAATGATGCTATAATAATATTTATTCACTTAAACAAATTATACTTCTTGACATTGTTTTGACAACCGTTAGTTATTGTTTTAATATATATTTTTTTGTATTATTACATACTATATAGAAATAAAATTATATAATTGTGCGTTTCTAAGTACTATTTCATAGACAATTAACCCTTATACCTACTAATACAGTGTGCTCTTATTATTGCACGTACCAAAAATGTGTTAATATATATGAGTACATATTCAGATGTAAAGTTTAGTATATATGTGTATAATACAAATACCATAGTAGTATTCATATACATAAGGTATGAATAATTATTTTTACTTCGGCTAAAGATTACTGTTTCTTTCTAAACTTCACGTTATGTACATTTCTTAAAGTCATTAAGTTTACGAAATAAAGAATTAATGAAAGACATATTGTTGATACAACCAAATATCTACAAGCGAAAATGAAACTTAATTACAACCACAATTACTATTTATAAATATAAAATGGAGTAACAGAATATTTCATCACAAATCGTGTTACGTTCTGTCCTGTTGACGTTATATAGAGATGAAATGCTGCTAACTAAAAACCCTCTATTTATAAGAAGAGACCGCACAGTAAAAATGAACCTCTGACAAGATGTATGCTCCCTTGTAAGATAAATATCGTTGTGTATCACTAACAAGGTAAAATTTTACACTATATTCGCATACTTCCAAGATAATGAGAAACTTTTGAACTATAAGCTTACAAACACGTGCTGGATTCTGGTAATTTGTTTTATAAGAACAAAATGAATATTTAAAAAAAAGGTTTTATATCAAATAACGTAATTATTATGTCAAGTGTGTATTAGTCTTAATAAAGATTAAACTTCTTAAACAGTTGTCATTATAATTTTATTTTAAAATGAAAGTATTTTTTTCTTTAATTTAATAGTATAAAGTCATTTAAACAAAAATATAATATTAATAATATAATAGTAATGATAAATATGGTTCATCATTAAGAAACTACATATGTATCTACGAAACAAAATATATGACTTTATACATACAAAGTATACATATACATATATAAATAGATATACAATGAAAATAGAATGCAGAAAACAGACAAGTATTTTGTTGAAACATTGAATGGCCAGATGAATAAAACATTTAACAAAAAATATGTATTATAACAATAAAACATAACAGAGAAATTGAAAACAAAATCTTTAATAAATTTCACATTCCTTTTAGCTTTATGAAGTTAAATATTTAGAAAACATTCCTTTGTTTTTTTTTACAACAAAAAAAAAACAAAAAGGAATTTTACGATAAACAGTCACAAAATATTAATATAACAAACAAGAAAATTTAGAGTATTTTTGTCTTAGATTTTATTAATACATTATCGAGATTCCTTAATGAATTCGATTATAAAAATATTATTTTGTTGAAGAAAAATATTTTAAGGCTGTTTTAATAATAGCAAAAGGTTTCAATATAAATTGGAATCGGTAAATGTTTTTTGTCAAAGTTATGTACATTAAGTTTCGTAATTAATATAACGTTTTGGTAGAGCTATTAATATGGAGTAATTGTGATAAAGAAATATAATAGTTTTATTAAATTAACTTAATTAATTTTGTCCTTTCAGTGAGCACCCGCTTTAGAAATACATACTTAAATGTTCGAATAATTTTTATATTCATCTTTATCTGTAAAATCCTTTTTTTTTGTTGTAATTTCACACAATGCATATGTGTATATATGTGTTTTTTACTCTCTATATGTTGTATTTGGAAAATATATATACTGTTATATATTGAATTGTTTTAGATATCGTAATAATTTTTTGGTGACGTATTTGGTATAGAAAAAATGACAAATTTTTATTGAAGAAAGACAAAAGAAAATGTCATTTAGTTCGTAAAATACAAACAATATAAAAACAATACATAACTAAAAAAAGAAATTTACTAAGCAGTAAACAAAAAAACTGTCGTGTCAAATGATTTATAATTATTATATACGAATTAATTTCGTCAAGTCTTTAGGGAATGACGTGAGTATCGAAATTTATCGTCGTTTAAAAAATATATGTTATAGAAAAGGTTGAACTTTCTGTATATTTAGAGAATAAATAGCTATCTACAAAGGCGTTGTATTGTCGGGTTTTGTTACCAAGTATTGAAAGTTGACTCTAACTGCCTCTAATGACTATTTAAGAAGTCATTTAGCTAAGAAACCCGTCTTGATAACCCCATCTACAAGTTTTATGACTTTTTATATATCTTGTTTCAGTTGCCCTTTTGAAATTCCTCTTTTATTTAATAGAATATTTTGTAATAAATATTCATTATTAAATTAAATTATAGTAACTATAGTTATTTTCATATATATGTATCTATATATTTTTTATATCTAAAATAAAACAAATTTAATATGTGATATATTTTTTTATATATTTATTTCATAAAACACTCATATAATTTATTATTTATAATTATCTTAACAAATATCCAATTTTGTATCCCAGCCATACAAAATGGAATACTTGGTATAACATAAGGGTTGTTTAAAATAATTATTTCATTGACGAAATAATTGACTTGATACACAAATTAAAAAATTAAGCCAAATCATGAAGCGTATTTTGCTTTAAGTTTATAAGAAACAGGTAATATTTATAATAGATATATTTATTTAAACATTTTTTTACAATCATCGGATACAACGTTAAACATTTTTTGTGTTTTTTTTTTTTGTGTTTCTTATACAATGTTTCTAGTAAAAATTTCAAGTCACTAGCAAAATTTACAAGGGATTTTTTTGTAAGACGAATATACAACACATATATTAAAATAATTTTAGAGAGATTTATTTCCATTAAAACTATAGTCTTAAACAGGTGGCACTAAATTTTGGCACAGATCATCGATAGAACATATTACTGGCATTCCTGGCAGTCAGTGGATCTCTTTTTCCTTTCCTCCGGTAAATCCTCTTCCTCTCTGTTCAATTCCTCACTATCCCTCCCGAGTCTGATGAAATGGTCCCTTGCCCTGCTCTTCCTTTGAGGATATCCACTCACAACCAGTTCCGAAGACTGCTCGTTGTTATCAGCAGTAGATCTCCCAAGTCTGATGAATTTCGGGTCGCGTCCTAGTCTTACGAAGTTGGACACGCGTTTTGTAATCGGTTCGTAATCATCATCGTAAGATTTGAGGAAGGAAATGAGCTCGTCAGTTGTAAAGGTGATGGGTTGTGATCTCCCGAAGCGTAGGAAGCTGTTGCCTTTGCCAGTTGGACGCTGGAAGGCTTCGCGGATATCTGCAGCTGATGGTTCTTGGGGATAGGATCTTCCGAACCTGATGATGAAGAAAATTACATTAGTGTCTAAAATGTACAATAATCTCTATTTATCAAAGTTAAAAACATAACTTTGGACTTAAGTTTGAAGAGTGTTGCATAAACATTCGTCGTGCCTGATAAAACACTACTTTATAACAATAAATAATATTTTGAAAAATAATTAATTACCTTACTAAATTGAAATGAATGACAAATAAATGTTGAATTACAAAGAGCGAATAAAACAGTAATATATAGTCGTTAAAGGCCCGCCGCTCATGCATGACAGCGCGGATTCGAAACTGGCTAGTATGAATATGATTTTTCCGAGTCATATGTACTTTCTAAGAGATTTTAGACATCACTGACAGACAGTGAAGGAAAACATCGTGAGGAAACCTGGACTTATAATTTCCAATTATAAGTTTGAAATCGCCAACCCGTCTGAGCAAGCGTGGTAAATAATGCTCAAACCTTCTCCACGTGAGAAGAGGTCTTTGCTCAGCAGTGGGATGATGATGATAAATATAATAGTGCCTCGAGTACCTGATCATACTCCTGTCAATAGCACTCCGACGTCGGGCTTCCAAGTCTGGTGATCTTCGGACTGGCATAGCGAGGACACCTGCCGTCAGACACACCAGCACCAACATAGCTGTTCCGCTGACCTTCATCGCTGATGCTGTAAAGGAACCACCCATAAGCAAATCTTTAAAATAATCAACTTACTTTTAAAAGACTATCATTCTTGCGTAATTTTTTTTGATAGTCCAAGTATTCCAAAAGTAGAACACCCATAGACTAATCTTTAAAATAATCTTGTTAGATTTAAAAGACTATCTATCTGGCACAAAATTTGTCAACAGTCCAAGTTTTAAAAAAAGTTTACTTCATAGAATAATATCTCATACTTTTATTTTTTCAGTAAGAACAAAATATTACCATCGAAAGATAAAAATGAATTTTTAAATTATACGGTTATATTCTATTTTATTAAGTTAACGTAATTTCAAATTCATTTTCATCATAAGAATTGTTCTTTTATATTCATGACAACGATTTGAACGCGGATAATAAACTTTTAACATGACAAAGATTAAAAGTTTATATGTCAAGAAGTTTAAAATGAACATTTTATTAATATCAGTAAAATTAAGATTTTATTGTTCTTTTACTTTTTCCGTAAAATGTTATTTAACTATTTATTTAATATACTTAAACAGTTTTTCTTGCATGATTCTATATACACCGAACATAATAAGAAAATTTTCATTCATATTTATTTAAAACCAAAGGCGAAATACCATTAAAAATGTTCATTATAATTTAAAACATATATAAAATTTCAAGAAATAATGCAAATAAATACGTCTTTCATACACAATTCCTTTGTGAATGAAATTAAGGAAAACAACAGTTATTTATTATTAAATACGAAAATGAAAACGCAATGTTGAGATACTTCGAAAGGTCGCACATTAAGGTCGCGGCAGCAGACAATACGGCGACATACAGTTAAGAATAAAAATTAAAAACATTTATAGCGCAATGCGTATTATAGAACGATTTTATCTTAGTTTTACGCTTCATAAAGATACTTATAGAATATTTTTAAGTATTGATTTCATGAAAACTAATGCTTATTTTTGGCAAAAAGTATTGCTTATAAAATCGTATAAGTATTATTATTGTTGGTTTTATATAAAACTGTTATTTATATTCGATTGTCAGATCGTATTTGCAATTCAAAATCGGGTTATTCGAACCTTACGATACATCAATAGATGTGTGTATGGCTGTATCCTTAGTTATGATTGTATGGCTCTCATGTATAGAATAGGTTTAAACCTACAGGTTTACTAGACGAATTATTGACATCTTAAAATTCTATAGAATATGAAAATTTATATAACTACCGGCCTCATAAAATAAAATTGCTATTTTTGTCAGAACTTTTTGACATAAATTCCTGTACGAACAAAAATATTGAAAACGGTCAAATCGTGTTAAACATTTAGAGAGACTAGAAAACGACTTAATTTTTATATACAAAACAATCAAATGTTAAATATTCATACAGTTGGCTACGAAACTTGAATTGCTTGTTAGAATTGAGGTAACAGTTAGAAAATTAACAACATGGTTTTAACAAGAGAACTTCACAAACAGTTTCTGCATTCAATAATGCAACTTTAATCATCAACAAATAACATTTTGACATTGTTTATTAATTAAAATATATCAAAATAACGAATTAAGTAATACGACAAACGACAAATTCGCTTGCAGGAAAAAAAACATTGGATGATATAAAAATAACCACAACATGACATAAAATACATATGACGTAAAATTACAATGACACAAAAGAATTATGACACAAGTAGCGATAACTTGGACAGTATTTTAAGTTTATATCGGTATAAAGAAGATGTATGAAGTACTCGTATAAAAATTTATGCCTAATTGTAATAAATTCATAATAAGAAAATTATCTTCATATTTTTTGAATGTCATTTACATTTGATATTTCAAATGAATGATCACGATTAGAATTAAAAGAAATGATTTTTTTTATTCACTATTAAATTGTTTGAATTCATATGTTTTATTCATTATTTTAATAAGATAGAACAACAAGATGTTGTACATTTGATAAAATCTTAGCTCAGATGAAGTCATTGTGTCTATTACAATAAAATGGATATAATGCTGTCATATATCTTTGCTATTTAAATTAACTTCACTCGTATTCTGTATTGCTAGTATTAGTTTTGCTATTTCATTATCTTTATTTAACTAATTTTTAAGGTTCTTCCATTGGATATTAAATTAGTATGATTAATTAATAATTACCAAACTTTAGGTTACTTAATACAATTTCTAATAATATATATAAAATTCTCGTGTCACCGTGTTAGACAGAGAAGTCATTCGAAACGGCTTGACTGATTTTGGTGCAATTTTGTGAGCATATTGAGTAGGTCTGAGAATCGGCTAATATCTATTCTGCATACCCCTAAATCATAAGGGTTGTTCACTCTTAATTTCCTTTTTCAGACGAAATTTTTTGTTTTAATTTTTTTTAATGTAGCATTAAAAATACAAACAACCCAAACAAAAAAGTAAAAATTTTTACTTTTTTATCACCAACCCCTATTTTTTATATGGCAAAACAATGTTTGCCGGGTCAGCTAGTATTATAAATATTTAATTATTTAAGGAATACAACATAGTAGCATCTAAAACGAAATGAATATTATTTATTTATTTATTAAGAAATATTAGTTTCATCCCTACTAATATTATAAATGCGAAAGTAACTCTGTCTGTCTGTCTGTCTGTCTGTCTGTCTGTCTGTCTGCTACGCTTTCACGCCTAAACCACTGAACTGATTTTAATGAAATTCGGTACAGAGATAGAGTTGACCTTGAGAAAGAACATAGGATAGTTTTTATCCCAGACTTTTGAAAGGTTCTCTTGGAAACGCGATATAACCGAACTCCACGCGGCGAAGCTGCGGGCGGAAAGCTAGTGTCATATAAATTTTCGTTTCATTTAGTTAAATCAGGCAAATTAATGCTTCGGATTAATGTATAGTTTTGGGAAATAATCTTATTCCAATTACGTTAATCACCATAACATTATATACATATATATTATCTTCTTCTATATATATGTATGTATGTTAGTACTTAAGTACAGAACTTAATCTACAATACGCTTTCACCAATACACCTGATTACACAGTCTGCTGAATTTTAATGGGGACAAGTTAAAACAGGTAAATTAGAGACTTAAGACTTAAGTTCAATAATTATTTAGAAATATAAATAGAGATACAAATAATATTATGACTGAGATTTAATAAGATTAATACTTTAATCAAGTGATCTGAATTGAATAAATTAAATTAAATGATGAGTAATATCTAAATAAATAATAAAATAATTAGTTAGTGGTGGCCTAGTGGTGACGGGGCTCGCCTTTCGTTGCCGAGGGCGCGAGTTCAAACCTGGCAAGTACCAATGTGGTTTTTCGCAGTCATATGTACTTTCTGAGAGTATTTAGACACCACTGACATACGGTGAAGGAAAACATCGTGAACTGACATACGGTGAAGGAAACCTGGACTTATAGTTTCACAATTATAAGTTTGAAACACCAACCCGTCTTGAGCAAGCGTGGTGATTAAAGCTCAAATCTTCTCCATGTGAGAAAGAGGCTTTTGCTCAGCAGTGGGCTCTGATAGGCTGATGAGATGATGATGAATTTAATGGGATTAAGGTTTATTAATTTAATGAGATAAGACTTTCGCTAATATACAGATTATGCTGCATATTTTAGTATTGTCATCACATTACACAAACGGAAACGTCGGGAGTATGTATGTAGTTATTAAAATAATATTTAGTTCTAACTATACTACTTACTATGTATATTCTTTAGAACCCTTATAACAAAACCCATGGTGGTTAAAACCGATCTAGAAGCAGCATCCGCCAATGACAAGCCATCCACTGGCGGACAATGGCTGTCACAATGGCACAATTATAATTTTAATCTCACATCACAATGGGTATGTGCTTTTTATTCATATGGGGTTACTTCATTGTTGAAGAGTTTACCTTATACAGTTACCTTTTTTACCTTATACTAATTTACCTTACCTATATATATTTACAGAATTAATTATAAAAAAATGTTGATTCCCAAAAAGAGGGTTGATGTCAGGCAGGCGGCCGGTCGTAAAAACAAATAGCCAAAACCATTCACAACATGTTAGGCAGACCCTGGCTATAGCTGGGAAAAATTGCCAGGTAGAAGAAGAAGATTCTATAAAAAAATGGTTTAATTTTTTAAGTTAAAAAAAATACTTTAGTATAATGTGCATAAATGTTATATTATAAGCGTTTATTATAATTAAAATGTATTAAAGTTATAAAAATATTACGAAAGAAACAAGATTCATTTAAGTATAAAAATTTAAGTTTTATATTCTTAGAGCTTCTATCTTTGATTGTATCAAGCTTGTTTTACACCCTTCACTGGTTTAGAAGTTTAAGAATACACATAGTATTTCTTTTACAAAACTCACTCCAAGTACCGCAAACATATTATACTCAACATCAACTCCATTTTGCGTATTTAAATTACAAAATTTCATGTCATATATTATAATTTATTACCAAAGTCGTATATATTTTTTTACAATTATATCCCTTTCATATAAAAGATAAAACTCTCTTTAATCCGGGTATCTTCAAAGGGAATTACGCTTAAAATCTTTGTGAGGTTCAAAAGATACATCGAGCTTAGAATCCGATTAATATGTGGGATTTGAAAATAATTATATTATTTTATTTATATAAATACATAGTAAACTATATAAATATCGGTATTTGGACCATAATTTACAAAGTTCAGTATAGTTAAAGTTCTAAGTGAATTTGGGTTCCGCACTAACGCAATTACTTTGAAACGTTATTATGAAACAGTGAACTTACTTGGAGTTTTTCTAGTTTACCTAAATACCGACAGTTTTATAGTTTTTCTATCCTAAAATATTGTATGGATATAGGAGATTTTTGCATCCCATTAGCACTAAAATTGCGCACTTTTATGATTCGTCGCTAGAACTGCTAAAATTTTATTGCAATCCTTTCCAAATGACTCTCCCGGATTAGAGTAATTTAATAAGATGGGGTAAAGGTACCGAAAAAACTTGACATATCTGTGCGAAGACAGTCGGAAGTGCTAAGCATTTGCTGGTGGGATGTAAGGTTCTCCTGGACAGCGGTCAATACTCGCGTCGTCACAATATGGTTTTGAAAATCTTACGTGAAGCGGTAAGTCTTTCGGTAGCCAGAGTGCAAAGGAAAATAACCAAAAACGACCTATCTATAGATTTTGCGAAAGAAAGCACTAGGTCTATACAATCCTTACAGTGGTTCCAAATTCGGCTATACATATTAAAAACCATACAAAATCCCTGAGGATATTTGTGGTCGGCCTCCAGACCAGACATATTTAAGTATTAGATATAATAGAGCTTATTGTTCCTTGAGAACCAACATCCCCAAAGACCATGCCATCAAAGTCAATAGGTTTTACGAGCTCACGCACGAAATCATAAGCAATAGGTACCTCATACATTCACGCGTAGAAGCGGGAGCGAAAGGTATACAAGGTAAATCTCTTTACTACCTACCAAAGACCTAAAAGACTTGGGATCTGTCCAGAACAAACATCAGGTTGTTCTTGAAGTGTACTTCGAAGGCAGCCATGGTACTTGGTCGAATTTGGTTAAGTAGAGAGAGGAACTTGGACGGTGGAGGTGAGTGTTTCACGTGCGTTAGATAGGGGCTCCTTAAACCTACACCTGGGTCGTTATTCCCATGCACTGTTGAAGCTCCTCTCCCTGCAATGCTATGGACCCGGCACCCGCATGGTGAATACATTGGATATAAGAATAAGAAGTTTTTCTCCGTCTCAAGGGTTCTCTTTGTGACATTATTAAAATTTTTGATTGTATGTACGTTTATTACAGATAATCTCGGAAGTCCGTTGCTAATCGTTTACGATAGGTTTACTGCTTCTTATAAAAGCTAAGACGAATTTCAGTAAAAACTAAAAACAACGCAGATGTCACGGGTTATAACTAGTTAAAAGTAAAATTACTTTAATTTTCTTCTGCTCTTACTAATCTTTAATTTTATATGCGGACATTAATTACGCATTAGTCTTAAAATGTAACGACATCTTGAATCTTCTAGATAGACGTAAGCTGTAAATTAATTATAATTAATATCAGCGATGTCAAAATATTTATTACAAACATATATACGAAAAATATTGTCAGAACAAAAATGTACTTTCAATTATCTGATCAAATATTTAAATAAAAAATGCGTACAAATTGAGTTAATACCTACAATGTCGTATATTCCATTGAAAAATTGTTTTCATTTTAATTTTCAATATATTTTAATTGATAATTTGATTATATAACTAAAGTTTGTAATCGAATTATTTCGAATACCGATTTTACTAACTGATTTAATCAATATAAATATTTATATATCTCTTTAAATATCTGTACTGCGACTGTCACATAAAACAATTCTAAGTATATTAATATTATGCAATTTTTTCTATATCACATTTCGTAACAAAAATATGAATAATTTATTTCTTTCTATGGTCTGCTATACCGCCTTTTCACTTTTACCCTGCTTATTCATGTATTCCTTTAACAATGGTAAGGATTTGTAAATAGTGACAGCATCCCAAATTACCAATAAACATCTATATTTATCGCTGACCCTTATGCTATGGTAAAAATTTGGCTATAGCTTTCATATTCTGCACTAACAATTACCAGCAGCTTTGCTCGCCTATTAAATCTGTTTGAGATACCTTTCGTTATCTAGAAGTACCTATCATCACATCCTTGGTGTCGTTAAGACTACTTCAAAATCTTTTCAATTTTTTTTCAATCAGCCTATATATAATTTTAGGAGTAATACCATAATATATATTTAGCCAAATTGAGAACTTCCTCTATATTCGAAATAGACAAAAAGATACTAAGTTTCTCCTAATTTTCGTCAAAATAATACCAAAGATTAGCAAGAACAAAGAAATTAACAGAAAAATTTATAAATATCTCGTTTCTATACTATGTATCATATGAAAATTGAAAGCTTTTCATTTGAAGTTACAGACAGACACTTCAATTTTATTTATTAGTATAGATATTTACGACCAAAAGTCGATATATCTCTAACATCCCGGCGCCTATATGTCTGATGCTTCGCGTATACTTAACGATGTTCTAAATGCCAAATCGCAACTGAACTTGCCAGTTTAATTCTATAATATGATATCTTTTGAAGATAAAGCATTTAGGATACGTAAGATAATGATTTTAGGCATAAAGAAATGGAAGAGGCTCAGAAATATTATTAAATAATTGGTATGAGTAATGAAATTTTAGAGTATACTTTAAAAGCTGGACATATAATTTGAAAACATAGAGTAACTCGATAATAGTACAATAAATAGTTCTTGTAAGACACGTAATTTTATACTCTATGTACACTATTTCTATAAATAAATAAAATCCGTTCAAAATAATATTAAAAAGTCACAGATGAATCACGTCTACCTACTCGTATATAAATTGGCAATATATTTTTTTTGTTTAATAAAAAATTAAAAGCCACCGGATACAATTAATGTGAAACATAACGGGGTAAAATAGAGGCTTGTTTTAAAATAAAAGCTAATAAAGTACATGGACTCCATTATAGAATTTATAAAAAATAAATACAATTATTACTAGACACTTTGAACACAATTGTGTTTGAAACAAAAGATTATTTTTCGAGTATTTTTTGATGTATAAAACGATCGACAGGAGAAAGTACGTTATAATTTAATTAAAAAGACTTATTAATACTGTATTAAATTATTTAATCATGTTAATATATTTTGTTAAATGTATCATTAAAGCTTTTAAGTTAAATAAAGATATAACAAACTGTTCACATTTTTAAGACTTATTTCTTATTTGATAACTTCACTTAAAAATGGTATCACTTATGTGTTAGTACATTTAATCTTACAGAGTCATCGCAAACTGTCTTCAAAAATAATGTTTTAAAATTTAATTCCTACGTAGTTATATACAGGATCAGGTACAATAATAAATATGTATGAACTATTGTTAATTTATACGAAAAATGTTGCAAACATTCATTATTATTGAAAATATATTATTTATAGTATGTATTAATGTAGATACAATAAACACCTTTCTCATCTCGTCTTCAAGTTCACGGTTGCAAGTAACCGAAACGTCGGGAGTATGTAGTTAAAACAATAAAAAATTGGTACCAAATCCGAAAATACTAGTAATATTTGCATGAATACTCGCGAGTTTCATCTCATTATGTATCTAAAATTTGATATATTTTTATTATGGAGTTGTTCTTATGTAAAACAAATGAAGTAATATATTATTTAGTTATTGCAATAAGTTACATAAATTTTCTAACTAGCTTTGTATATGTTTCTTGATGAATTAAACTATAAGTATTAAGATTAATATTTATGTTTTTTATTGCAGAAAATGTTATTTATGGAAAAATAAATTTATATAAGTGTACGTATATTATATTTAAAACATATATATGTTATTTTTTTATGATTTTTTTATTTGATTAATAAATAAGAATGTATCTTTCTTCCTTGTAAGTCATGCATCGTATTTCCAATATACACAATATATTTCGTCGTCAATCTATTTAACATTTGAAAAGCAATACGCTTTATAAAATATGAAAGCCTTTTATTATGGATATGGATATGGTTATTGTGATATTTTTTATTTCTATTAATATATTGAATTATTTAATTAGTATCAAAAATAAACAAAATATAAGTAATACTGTCTTTTAATTATTTGAAATAATTTAAATTACAAAATTAATTAATAGGTCTTTACTAAATGTGTAGTTTTTTCACAAAATCGTTCACTAAACTGAGGAATGTACTCGTACTTTACATATACGA